CACTACAATTATGAGACAGAAACAAGCAACGCAGTATGTTAGTGAAAGCTAGAGTGATGACTGCTGCTGTTGGAACGAGATCGGTAAATTGTATCGATAATTAGGTCGATCAGGAATTTTTTGTTGGCCGAAAGTGGAGGACCCAGGTCGACGATCAGCCGACCGACTGGTATTTTTGGACCAGTCGCGTGCTCCAAGACACTGTACTGGGACCACTTTTGTCCCTGGTCAATATGAACGATGTTCCTCAGCTTTACCGTTCCCATTGTGTGTTGTTCGAAGGTGTGGAGACTAATCAGTGCACCGGATGACTGTGGTCGACTTCAGTGTGACCTTGACCGCCTCTCCATATGGTTTGCAGAGATTAACCTTCCGAGAAACCTGGTCAAGTCGCTATTTATGCTGCGACCTAAAGTCCGTGGACAACAAGAATAGGCTTCATCAAAATGAACTTCGCATGCTTTGCGCGCTCAAGCGTAGCTTCCGCACTTGTCCGAAGGGATCGTCAGTGGTTTCAATCATACGAGCAATGCTAAAGTGTGGCTCACCAGTATACTGTCCGATCACCCGCGGCAAGGTACAAAGGATTGAGCGGGTACAGCATGTGGTCACCAGGATCATCCTCAATTTAAGTGGTGCGCTCCACGAAGACCTGTGCAAGAGACTAGGACATTACACCCTGTCTTATTGTCGATTGCGGTTTGACATCATCATGACGTACCGGCTAGTACATCGGGATGATTATTCCATGTAAAGGCCGCTGCTCCGCATCCGCACATCAAGCAGCTCACGAAGACACCGGTACAAAGTTGCAGCAGCGGATATGATGCGGGTCACCAAAAACTGCTTCGAACTGACAGCAGTGAGTATATGGAACAATTTGCTGCAGCAAGTAGTTGGGGCAAATTCGGTGTCGGAATTCAAGAAATTCCTAGAAAAATACATTGCAGACAGATAATACCACGAATGGGCTTTAACATAATAGGGATTTTAAATGCAGCTACACAGATAGACCTCTTCTTGGTGCTTCTATCCAGTATTCATCGTAGCCGTCGTCGTCATTAACATCATCACCAGTAAGAAACCGTCAGTAGTTTGCAATGATGCTTCGCTTTCACATTACCATAATTACAAGGGATGATGGGCTACATGACCTAGTATGAAATTATATCCGAAAATTCAGAGGTAAGGTGCATGCATCTTGTCAATAACACGCGGTAAAAGAAACGCGTTATTACACGAAGAAGAGGTGGGTTCGACGATAGAGCATTTATTGCTTTGTAACATTATCAACCTTACTCGTTTCGATGGATGTCTGCAGCCATATTGTAAGCGAACAGATAGTTGCCAAATGGCGAAGCCTGATGTTCTGAATACACAGCGAACTGCGCTGGCATGCAGATTAAGTGCTCACTGAGCACAGTTGAAAATCACTGGTCACATATTCGTCAGATGTTATCAGCGGCAGATGATTTCATGTGGTGAATCAAATTACCAACCTAAACACTGGGTCTCTAGGTAGTCGTTAGAACACTTCAATGGTAGCTGACACATTCCTACTGGAAACGAACACGAAACTCGCAAAGACCTTGGGGCAAAACTCCGTGCTAGCCTGAAGAGTGACCGCTAAGCCTAGTGGAATCACTGTGCGTCGGAGATGAAAACAGCCGCCGCTCTTGGTAAAAACAGGAAGTTATTCTGTTTGATTCTAGAAACTGGCAACAAGAGACCTGGTATTAGCGAGACTAGATGTGACCAGAGTGGAGAGCCAATTCACAGCTTGTCAAAACGTTTGCAGAATTGGGCGAACACTTTGAAAAGCAGTTTAATCAGCCAGAGTTGTATTCTTCCTTATCGGTCATTGTCGTCCTTCTTCCGAAGCTGTTCCCCTGGATCCGCCTTCACGTTCAGGAGTCGAATGTAAGACCAGACTGTTGAAATTGAATAAAGCCACAGGAGCAGATGGACTTCGACCAACCCACTTCAAATTCAGAAGTCCTGCTCTTTTGGATGATCTGCATAACCTACAAGTGAATGTATAGGGGCAAGAGACTGTCCCAAAAGATTAGAGCCGCTTCGTCGTAGTTTCAAGTTTCAAAGAATGTTTACATTCGGAATGCGGCAATCATAGAGGGATCATTTTAGTCTCTCATCCAAGTTACTTTCCTCCAGAGACTGGCTGACATCCTGAGAGGTGAGTTTGCGAAGAGCAAACCGGATATCGTCGAAATCGAGACTGCATTGACCGCATCAGCACATTACCACAATTGATGAAACCCCACCATATTTATTCTAGACCTACTGTAATCGTGTTCCTTGATATCAAAGATGTTTTCGTATCATCCGACACATGTGCGCATTGGGACCCTGCTCAAGAAGAGTGTGCCCGATAAACATGTGAATATCATAAGAGCGTTGTATGTGTATAGTTCGACCGCAGTAAGAGCTTAGAGAAAGCTGCCGCTGCTCTTCAATATCTCCAGTGGCGAGAGAAGGTTGTTCGCTGTCAGCCTTGTCAACTTCCTCCTTGCTGAGGTCATGGAAAGTGCACTCAGAGTACAAGACCTACAAGATGTGGAGCTACTTCCAGGTGAACGACTTCTTGACTTGGAGTATGCAGGCGGCATTGCCCTAATGTGTGAGTTCCTAAAAGTGTCAAGCATTGCTGTATAAATTAGTAACGACTGTCAATTGTTACGGGGTATGCATTTAACCCTCGAAATGCAAAGCCGTTCTCTGAGAGTGGCAGGTATCTACTCACATGTGGACCGTTGGTGGTGGTCAGCAAGAAATCGTGCAGAAGTCCAAGCACCTAGACAGCTTTATATGCGAGGGTGGAATTAAACTGAGATGCCGAACCGTATAGTAACAACTCGAGGTGCCTTTGCAAATCTCCGCTACCTGTGGCGCCCACGGTACATCACTCTAGCTCTGAAAAGCAGAGTCTCTAATGCAGCCGTGCGTCTAACCCATTTGTACGGTTGCGAAACCTGGTCCATCAAGTCGACCGACATAAAGATGCTGGCTAAGTTCGACCATCGTTGTCTTTGCAGCTCTGCTAATATCTGGTGGGAACACCACGGGAACAATCAGCGGGTCAGGCGTCATGTATTTGGCGCAGAAAGAGTCAGTGAACCGCTGAGCACCGTTATTTCACACACCAGGCTCTGATGGCTCAGTCTCGTGCTTAGAATGCCTGCACACTAACTCCGGCGACGGGTGTGCCGAGGATGTGGATGGAAGAAGAGGAAGAGACGCCAATCAGTTTGTCTCCCGACTGCAGGGCTGGGGTCCGAAGGATGATGAACACGTTTGGTTGACAGGGCGAAGAGACGAGCTCAATGGCGGTTATGTTGAACCTCTTTCTCCCCCCCCACTTAGCTTCCCCCTTCAAACGCGGTCTCACACTCTATGCATAAAATGATAGTAAACATTACACCACTTGTCATTAGTTTTATTTTGTATTCTGTATTTGTATCGCAACATCATAGCTGATGTTTCTGTCTTCAGCCAACGGGTAATGATAAGGATGATGTTATCTGTGTCACAGATGCAGATGAATAGTCAATGACGACCTGCATACCGAAGGCAGAACAAAAAACGAAGCATAATAACAAGGCAAGATTACAGTTGAGAGTCCATTGGATGTGTAAGCAAAAAATAATACAATTATCGTATGTAAAAGATAACAAAGAAAAGGGAGAGGTTGAATGAAGCACAAGACTTACAACCGATAATGTGGCATAAATCGAGAGTACCGTGCATTTGCTGGAACATGCCCCAGACCAACTACGTAGTGTAATCATTCTGTCAAACATAGTCAGATAGTAGGGAAAGATTTTCGAGTTTTACAAAGTAGTTCCCAAAAGCGTTGTTAGGAAGTAATCTGAATAAAAGTAATAAAATGACGTAGAAGTGAAGGAATAAACGTAGGTACAGCCACCAGTTCGAGTAATAGTTTCCTGGGGATATGCTCGTATGCGGAGGAGTTAGAAAAGATTTCATCCACACGTCCACACCCAATCTGGCCAAGTGCTGATGTGGTTTAGAAACAAATAAGCCGTCATCAAGTCGACTAGTATTTCCGCGACGTCATCTGTCGGCCTTACCTAGACCACATTAGACCGCGAAAACAAACAGGTATACGGAAGATCGGGGAGCAACGCATATTCTAGTGTCGTGTCGAGGATTTGCCATCGAATGCAACACAGAAGTTGCACAAAACGTGGGGTCACTAGATATAGTCAATACCACATTCGCCTTAGTGAAACAACAATGTCAGGCCTTGCTAATTGCGTGCGACCCTTGTGGCAAACAAGGGTGTTCCCCAAACTTTTCAGAGCTGGGCAAAACCATAAAACAATCATAACAAGTTCTACGGAATGACGGCCACAACACGGTAAAAATAGGCTGAGATCAAAACAGGACCTTGTAATTTCCGGAATAACTAAGTTGGTTGCTAAAATTAGTAGCAACAAGCCGACTGGGCCAAAATACAGTTAGAGAAATGTGAGATGTACACAGCGAGTGGACATACATAAAAGATATTGAAGGTGCAAATGTACATCAATGCGGTTTATCGTTTTTTACAAGGAAATACAACTTTCCTAAAGACGTGCACCAATTGCATTGTAGCTTCACGTGTTACCTTGACTGCGAAATCAAGATGCCAAAAATATCGTCACAAATGGGTGAGGTTCTGAACAGCATCCTGTGCTTGGTCAATGAGCACTGCAACCTCTCCGATGAGCTCAATACTACCAAAGGTGGGACGGTGACATAGACAGATAAACCGATCAATAAAGTATGGTCGATTTGTGATGGATGCAAATCGATTCAGCTCTCTAACAATGCGTTGTAACTTGAAAGACGAGAAGGAAAAGTCGAAACGTGCTACAAGTTGAGTCAATAGTTCAAATCAAACCGGATGGTAGTTAGAAGCCATAAATTTATGGTAGATGGAAAACGGACAAGATGAGATTGTATGGTTGGTGGCTTACTGGAGGGTGACTCGCGAAGCCCGTATTTGGCGGGACAAATCGATGTGGTGGGCTTGATGGGACTAGTGCCGGAGCTGCGTACACATGGGCGCTTGAGTGAGCGCCGCAAAGCTCTAGAGAGCACCGGGTTGGCAGATAAGGGTTTGAACGTATCAGTTGTGGTGACGCTGGCGTCGGGTGATGTAGACAACGAGGTCTAGATGGAAGAGGCAGCAGATAAAAGCATAAAGCATCTCAATGACAGTAAAATCATTTCAACTTAGGACAGCGAAATAGAAAAGGAAGTCGGAATGCGAAATCACCATGTAGCTGACAAAACACTACGGAGAGGGAAATGAAAATACACCTTAGCTCACAAGCGCTCGTGATATCAGCGAGACTCCCTAAAAACTGAAAATCCTAGAGACAACACAAACACTAAGGAGGATGACACTGTTCCGAGTTAACAGGACTTCTTATCCTATAGACCCGCCTGTCCTGTCGTTTGCGAAATAAAAAGTGTCTGAGTGACTCAAGAGAAAGGATTGTCCTGTTCTCCGAGCTGGGCATTTCTGTTGCAGACGTTTCGTTACCAAACTAGGTAACATCTTCAGTGCAGCTATTTAGTGCTGATTCGCGGAGTCTCGCAAACCAATGTCATTCAGATCTGGCATTGGTTTGCGAGACTCCGCGAATCAGCACTAAATAGCTGCACTGAAGATGTTACCTAGTTTGGTAACGAAACGTCTGCAACAGAAATGCCCAGCTCGGAGAACAGGACAATCCTTTCATCCATATCCCAAGCCACAGGTATTCTCAATAATTTCCAGACTCAAGAGAAGCCTGAACCAAGACAGATTTGAGCCCAATGGCCAGGAGCAAGTCAATAAGAACACCCCTGGCTGTGATCTAGTCAGTGTGAACGTATGCACGCCCCTAAGAGCTTTTAGTAACACAGGGAATTACTCAGGACTTTTTACGTTGAGATTTACACAGCTTTTTGGCTGTAAAAATACCGTTCCATCTGGGGCGCAATTGAAGGTTTTATTGAGGTTATTGTTTGCTGGTTTACAAAGTGGCTGATCGGGGATTCGCAATGGATATATCAATTCCCCTTACTGTCTGTAGAAATACGCAAACACAATCTTGTTCTTAAATAGCGATCGGCGAATTTGGACTGAACGTTTGACATAACGCTGTAATCGCAATCGACCGGCTGATTCACACCTGCTGGTAAATCTGTGCCCTTATGCCTTCTCTGCTTGACGTCCTTGCAAATTCGACAGGAGGAAAGACAGAAGACTCAGCCAACCAGAGAGTTGTATTAGGATCGAGAACGCTCATATTTACATGTCGGTCTCATCCATCCTCTAAACATTGAATGGCGGTTTTGGCTATACGCCCAAACTCCACACTTGATTGTGCACTCCATCTGGCCAGTTCACCGTCTTGCTCGGGCACGTCAGTCTTCATCCGCCTACCCGGGGCATGGCTACATACGTGATGTCTGACCGGCGATTTTATCAGCTGCCGACCAATGTGACTGGACTTTACCGTGCTGCGATGGTTCGTGTGCCTCAATGATCCACTGAGCTATGCTGAGTGGTGCTATCTGGCACCTTCAGAGCCACTCATACCAGGTTGGCCAATAGCTAGAGGCCAGACAAATTCAGCCTCCTGGTCCTCCCGGTTGGGGGTTGGAATGAGAGTGGCACCTTATTCCTTAAAACGGACTCCTTGTAACCAAATGCCCAACCCGCCGCCTTGCGGTCAGGTTTTTGAACCAAAAGCTTTGGTTGAGAACCCTAATCGTTCTCCTGTCTAGGCATTGGCAACCTGACAGTATTCTGCCCATGCAATACAATGAATCTCTCTTCATACAAATTCCTGATGCTCTGGCCGTCGCAGAGGATAATCAACGGTGCCCTATCAGCTGCATCGAGCAGAGTGGACAGGGGTTGGGATGCTATTGCTCAGGCTTTCCCGTCTTCTAACTCCCCTTCTTACGCGTTTGTACCCTTATCGTCCCGTTCCAAGTTCACTTTCATCCCCCTGATTCTTTACCCTCCCCCAACACGCTTTGCTAGGCGTTTATCTTCTAGTTTCAACTCACATGCTAACGTGGAGCGTCACTCCTGTCCCGTCGACAAGCCCATATCTAACCAAGCGGTCCACTTCAGTTCCTCGGCTTCCATTTGGAGTCCTCAATCCTCCTTCAGATTGGCATGCCTCTATGTACGCACATTGCTGCAGATCGATCAACAGCCAGCACTTGTCCGAACATTAGAGACCCTCTTCATCGATATCTGCCACATATCGGATACCCGCCTGCAAGACTCGAGCTCTGTGCTCACTCTGTGATCCACTTCAGGTAACACCCGCAGTATTTTCTCATTGCACCTATCCGGTGACGATGCAACTTGGAGCAGCGGCGAAGCTCATGCTGGCGTTGCCGAGTCCCCGGATCGAAGCTGGTCTGGTTGATTGAATTCCAATCAGTAGCCGTATGTGTGCAATCCGATTGGCTGACTGTTCAAACCATCTAAGTCGCGCGGGACTAATAGGTGACTATTCATCATCGCTGCCTACGCACCCACAAACCGTAGCGATGATTCGGTAAAAAATGACTAGCGCCAACTGACCCAGCTCCTTCGCCACAGAAGAATTACGGACACTGTTGTGCTAGCGGCGGATCTGAACTTACAAGTTGGAAAGTTGTCCACTGATGAAATGCATCTGGGCGGTCAGCACGGCGTAGGCTCCCATAAGGATAACCGTGAGCGGTTACTTCGTTTGTGTGAAGATGCCCGCTTATTTCTTGCGAGCACTAACTTCCGACATAGCACCCGCCGGAGGGTGACTTGGCGCCCAACATTCTCGAACCAGCTATAGACGCAAATTGATCCCATTGCAATCAATTACCGCTGGAGAGGCTGCATCCTGAACTGTCGCTCGATTTGGAGCACATGTGGGGACACCGACCATGCACTTGTATTTGCTGACATGGGGAGGCAATTTTGCGGACGCCCACGACAACGCGGTGAGTGCATTCACACCAGCCAACTGACTAAGCATGCTATTCTGAATGCTTATCAAACTACGCTGACGTGCGAGTTGAGTAAGCACTCACCGGAGACAAGTGAAGGTCACTGGTCGTACGTTCACTAGAGCTTACCAGCAGCAGGCAAATCCTCCTGTGGTAAGTCTAATAGCAAACATGGACATTGGGTCTATTCGCGGTCGCTGGAACTTATCGATGCTTGCCGGCATATTTCGGCTGGAAGCGAACACAATGAAACTCGCAAAGAGCTCCGGGCAAAACTCCGTGCTAACCTGAAGAGAGACCGCAAATCTTGGTGGTCACTTCGTGCGTCAGAGATGGAAGTGGCCGCTGCCCTTGGTAACCATCATTTGTTATTCCGTCTGATACGGGAAACGGGCAGCAGGAGACCAGATATTAGTGAAACTACACGTGACGTGAGTGGACAGCGTATCCACAATTTGTCAAAACGTTTGAAGCGTTGGACTGAACATGTTGAGAAGTAATTTAATCGACCGGAATTGGTCGATTCCTCACCGGCCAGTGATCACCCTGCTCCGTGAACTGTCCCTTTGGATCCGCCATCTCGCTCAGAACTCAAACGTGAGATGGGAGTGCTAAAGTTGAACAAAGCGGCCGGACCAGATGATCTTCCTCCAGTCCTCTTCAAATTCAGGGGGACCTGCTCTTGTTGATGATTTACATGAATTACTAGTGAAACCGTGAGAGCGGGAAACTGTCTCTACCGACTGGAGCCGCGCCGTTATTGCTCCCGTATTCAAGAGGCCCGTGTTCGGAATGCGGCAACCATAGAGGAATCAGTGTGATCCCCATCTCCTCCAAATTAGTTGCCTCTCCAATCCTTCACAGACAGACTGGCGCTCGTGAAAACCAGATTCGTGAGGAGCAAGCCGGGTTTCGTCGGGGTCGTGGCTGCAGTGAAGACATCTTCACTTTGCGTCAGTTGTTGGAGCACCGTCACATATATTGGTGGCCCACAGTTGGCGTGTTCCTCGATATCAAAGTTGCATTCGATTCGGTCGATCGATGTGACCTTTGAAACTGTCTACTCAGGAAAGGTGTGCCCTGAGAAATATGTAAATATTATCCGAGCATTATACGCGCGTAGCACGGCCAGAGTGAGGGCTTACGGCAAGTTGTCGTCGCCCTTCAATATCTCCAGTAGTGTAAGACAAGGATGCCCGTTGTCACCTTTCCTCTTCAATTTCGCTATTGACGAAGTCATGGAGCTTGCATTTACAGGACACGATTTAGGTGTGGATCTGCGGCCAGGAGAACGACTTCTTGATTTGCAGTATGCTGATGATATTGCCCTAATCTGTGACAGCGGTCAGATGTGCCAAGCGGCACTGGACAGATTAGCCCTGGCTGTCAGTGTCTTCGGGCTTTGCTTTGCATCATCAAAGTGCAAAGCTTTTCTCCGAGGTTGGCAGGGACCGCCACCCGTGCAGATCATTGGTGGTGATCAGCTAGAAGTCGTTCGAAATTCATCTACCTGGGAGATTGTATCAGCGCCCTTTGGATTGAAGAGGAAATCACGAACAGTATATTAAAAGCTCGAAGCGCTTTTGCTAGTCTTCTCCACCTATGGCGGCGGCGCGGCATCACTCGTCCTGAACGGTAGAGTGTATAATGCAGCGGTACCTTCGACATTACTGTGCAGCTGCGAAACCTGGTCCCTTAGACAAGCAGACATAAAGAGCCTAATTACGTTCGACCATCGACGTCTTCGCAGTTTGACTCACATCTGGTGGAAACACCGCGTGGGCAACGACCAGGTTTCGACGCCTTGTTTACGGCACAGGAAAAGGAAATGAATCGCTTAGCACCATCATTTCTCGCAGCAGGCTCCGATAGCTGGGCCACGTCATGCGTATGCCAGCCCAGCGACTTCCGCGACGTGAGTTGTCTGCTCACGGGGATGTGGATGGAAGAAGAGGAGGGGTGGCCAAGCGATGACTTGGTCCAGAGGAATGAAGGACCTCATTTCGGAGCTGGCCTCGGCTGGAGCGTTACGGCTCCCTAGTTGGGGTTTGAAAGCCGATGAACACGTGTGGCTAGATACACTTGTTGACATGGCAAGGAGCCGACCTCAGTGACGTTCGTGCTGTGAGTTTCTTCGTCTCTCCCCCATCCCTTTTAGCCTCCCCCTCCAA